GATTCTATAATTAGGCAGGTGAAAGCAGGCTGAAGGAAGGCATGCCCATCAGAAGCTTGGTGTGGAGAGAATGAATGGCTTGTTCTTTTTGAGAGCGACTCAGATGGAGGAAAACAAACATTTCACAAATTGTGTTCTACAACCTGTTATAATCCAGAGAAGAAATTCTGCTTAGCAATCAAAATTGTCCTATTCTAGGTTTCAAGTCTTACTCCATATCTTAAAAAATATATTCTGGGTTTGAAGACTGGTATTGAATAATGCCTCAGAGATACAATAGTCCATGCTGAAATGCACACTACAGCTTCATTGCTAGTAAAAGTTCTATCAGCCTTAAATTACCTCTATCTGCTCAAGAAGCCTTCGTTTATATTTAGAATCATAGAATCACAGAATAGTTAGGTTTGGAAAGGGCCTTAAGATCATCAAGTTCCAACCCCCCTCCCATGGTCAGAGACACCTCTCACTAAACTATGTCACCCATTTATATCTGTTAATTATCCATTTTAAGAGGGAAAAGGTAATTTGGATTTATGATAAGGTTATTTGGGGCAGGAAGTTCTGTTCTACAGCTGAGTACTCCATCTCTTCTGTGTATTCAGCACAGTATTGTTAACATTCTGTTTAAAAACACACCAATCCTTTTTAGTGGTAATATGGTCAAAGATCCCACTTTTCTAAGAAAGAAGTGGATTTGGGGGCTTCCCAGATAATACATCTGCCCTTTCTTTTTATATAACACCTCAAAAATGAATCTGACCAGAGAAATAATAAGAATTATTATATTTCTCCAGACTGCATGTTCTACTTACTTCTCTCTCTGAATAGCATCTGGATTTTCATCAGAGTGGCTGGCTGTGTAACTTGGAAAAACATGCCAAAACATCTGCAACCCAGCTACATATTGCAAAGCATCTGCAGCTTAGAGCTTGTGGGAATTCCTTGAATTATGGTATAGGGAGCACCAGCAAGCTGGAGGGAAGGGGAAGAAAGACTAAGCAAAAAACCCAAATCCTTGTGCTGCACTGTTTGCATGAAGAAAAAAATATAAAAAAATGAGAGTAAGAATAAAGACTGATTGCCTCATTCAAGTAATCAGCACTGCAGAGCTGTAACCTATTTATAATCAGAAAAATACAATTTCAGTCACCTCAGTACAGATTTTATAAATGCTATCATTCAGCCTTCATGCATCATCCTCATAACTGCCTACAAAATTCAGACTGAAAATATTTCTTCTACATTTGTTCTTATTGTTGCCCATCTTCTATGAACTTTGTCATAAAGTAGAAAATCCTTCATGTTTTTTTTCAAGGTCAAGTATGCCTTTAGATGATAAGAACCTTCCATCTTCCCTGCCAAAGTCAATGACGGTCTTTATCAACTGTCCCACCAAAACTGATCAAAGACTTTGATTCTTAATAATCTCATTTAACTGGGATTGAACTGATGTGAACATACAAATTCATGATCAACGCATGATGAAGAAAAAAAATGTAGAAAAATTGTAATCTAAACTTTTATATAAAAATCTAAAAACAGGCTCTAATGAGTCAAACCAACAGTTCAATATTCTGCCTCCAGTCGTGGCAATGGACAGTGCTGTGTAAGGTGAGCATGAGCCATTATCTGCAGTTCATTCATCTCATATTTCCTCAGTAGCTGCAATCATTGGATCAGGGATGGTCATTATACTTCCCTATATACTTCCCTATTCCTGGTTTAGATGATGAATGTGACAGGATACATATTTACCTATTTCTCTCATCCATCATCTCTATAGTATCAGATCCATGAACTTCTATTCAACTCTCTAGTAAGAAAATATTTGATCACTAAATAAATTACTAGGATTAGCCTTAGAGTTTGAATCCACATGCTGTAGACAAGAGAATAGGTAGACTAGAAGACGTTTGTGGTAGAAGGGCTGTTCACTGCTCCTGCTGAAGCCAGGCCACAGCATAACAAGGAGCACAAGGATGAAAGGAGAGTACCAAACTGTAACAGAGAAATCCTGTCTCTCCATGTCCCTGAGATATTTTGTGTTTATCACCAGACACAACTAAATAAAAGACCAAATCAATCCTGGAGCAAAGATCAGGAATCCCCCTGCAGAAGGGGCTTAGCTTCTGTAGATGGCAACAAATACCTCCAAGTCCACTCAGAAAGAGAAAGCAAACATAATCTGTTGCCAATTTCTGATAAAAAGAGGACTTCAGGTTTAAAAAAAACCACCACAACTTTTATCTTTCTCATAAAGCCCCCTTAAAATCAGGGAAGCTAAGACATAGTTGCAAGCCAAGACATATTCTCTGTTTGTTCTTGAGCTGAACTCCTGTGTCAAAAAGTGATTGGGAAAAACAAAACCACCTCAGTTTCAGTGTTTATTCATTTGTGGTCTATGAGCTATTAGTTAGTTTCATTGGTATTGCTCAGTTAAAATCAACAAGGTTACAGAGTGTCACTGACAACACAATTTGAAAACAAGTATGCTGGGTAGCTCTTTCACAGCTGACATGACTACAGAGACACTACTGGACAGTTTTAAGTAAGGATCCAACTGCACTGGGGTTAAGAACATATATTCACTAGTCATAAACAGAGATAGTTTGCATCAAAAAATCCCAAACAACAGTTGAGGTCTTAGAAGAGTTAGACAACAGGCTAAAGGCTGGGGTCAGTTTGTATGCTCTTTCTAGTCCTAGTTTCCTTACGGCATTTTTCACTCCTGAGAGTAACTGTACTTCAAACACTGTTCTCCTCTCAGTGACCTCCCTGATCTCTTCAGGTTTAGGCTGTTCTAACACTTCCAGAGTTTATGTCCCTTCGTTGCTCCTGAATAGAGGCTTCTCATGAAGGAAACAAAGCCAGGTTCAGCGCAGAGCTTTTGGTAAAACACTAAATAAAAAGCCGACAGCGGTTTGTGGGTTGCACTCTCAGAAGGGTACATTTTGTTCTTGTTGGTGTCAGGCCAAAATAATATCAGTCTTAAGTCTACTGGAATTTATGCTGGCTTACACCATCAGAAGTGAAAGTGAACTAGTGTCAAGAGACGAATACATTTTCGTGGTGAAGGAAAAGAGATGTGCAGTTTGAATTAAAAATTTCTCATACCCTCTGGTAAGTGGTAGCATCAGTCTTCAGTAGCATCACCCACATAAAAAACATGGCATTTATTTTTATTCTATATTCTATTTCATCAGCATAACAAAGTTGAAACACTAACTTTGATCTTAATTTGTCTGAAAAATTCTTCTCAACTTATAAGCTTTATAAGCTTTCAATCAAGATTTTTTGCTAATATTTTTTTATTTTCATTAAAAAGAAAAAATAAAGTGAATGTGGCATTTAATTGATTTTTGCTTTACTTTTAGCTGACTCAAATGAAAATCTAATTTCTTTTTCTGCTGTGCAGTTTTCTGTAATAAAAACTCATACTAATAAAGGGACCATACTAATAAAATCATGCTTGCACAACACATAAGTTGTGAAAGTATTCACTTTTCTTTCATAGACATCAATATGTCAAGCACATAGGCATGAGAACAATTTCCTAGTACTGAGATTACTAATATGGAAGGTCTGCACTGTCGTAATGTGGAATGCGATTGTTTTCCCCCTCCTCTCCCCAGGAATAAGGAAAGAGACATGTAACAATAATTTCTGACTTGCAAGAACACCTGAGATGCAGTAAAGACCAGTCAGCCACTAAATAATTGTTTTAAACTTATATCTGGGTTTTGGGAGTGATTCATTTATTTAATTTAAAGAGAGAGATGCTGGGAGGTCAGGATAAGGTAAAGTATACTGAGAATAGAGAGATCCTAAGTGCAGAGTGGGATTATGCAATTGTGTCTTCTGGGACAGGTGATAAGATATAAAGGAACACACAATTTCCAAAGAGAAGTCTTTGTGCATCATAGCAATGTAACAGTTTAACCAATGATTAACCAACAGCATGGAAAGTTTTTTATCCTACTAACCTGAACCTTTTCTGTTTTTAAACAGATTTCCAATAGCTGATCATTAAACTAGGGTTATATAAACCTTGCAAACACAGAAGTGCACTGCTCTGAATTCTTCCACTGCTTCAGAGAAACAAACAAACAAAACATGTCAGCTGTCAAAGGAGAAAAAGGTGGCATCTCTACCTGTCAGCTGCTTACCAAAAAAGAAGTAAGACCTTAACAAGGTCACATTTAAAAGAAATAAGAGGCAGAATGGGCGCAGCGTGTTTTCATGATATCCAGCTTTGAAAACAGGATCTTCACTTTACCAAGTAACAGTATCTGTTTGAAGATCCTGAAGGAGTAGCAGATTTGATATAACTTCAAGGTTAACCCACTGTCAAGCAAAGATTTGGACTAGATGATCTCCTGACATCACAGAATCATAGAGTATCTAAAATTAGAAGGGACCCATAAGGATCATCAAGTCCAACTCCCTGCTCCTCACACGACTACCTAAAACTAAACCATATGACTAAGAGCATTGTTCAGATGCTCCTTGAACTCGGTGTTGTGACCATTTCCCTGGGGAGCCTGTTCCAGAGACCAATCACACTCTCAGTTAAGAACCTTTTCCTATGTCCAATTGGTCCTTTCTAACCTCAGAAGTATGATCCTACAAAACCAGCAGTGCTATGAATATACTGATAGGACACACCACGCAAAGCCAGGATGAAAACAGTTGCCTAGGACAAAGAAGAAACTACAGGAGGGCACTTGCTAGAGGTGACTTCCTTGTATCTACACTCTCAAAGAAACTCTTCAACAAAGGTGACTGGAACAAGAGAAATCAATGTATATTGAATGTACAGTGCCTTTTCAAACATGTAAGTATCAACAAAACAGATTTTTGGAAAATCCTCAAATTTTCCACTCCAGTGGGAGAAAATCTGCATCCACACACCTACTCTAATTCTTGTACACATATGCTTATCTAAAGGAATATGTTCTTTGATTTAACAAGGACCGAAAATATTTTACTCAGAATCTTGTTGGCATAATTTTATTGTATTTTGTAGCATTCTTTTTATGACATGCCTAATACACTTGTCACCACTACTAGAAGGATTGTATGAGGGCATTCACTGAACTTACAGCCAAATTTGATGACCAATAAGCAAACAGGCAGCTACAGTTCTTACTGTCTTTTTTTTTTTTTAAGTGAAAATTTAAGGTCCAAAATAGCAGCCCAGGATCAGAACAATTTTACTGTCCTTAACATTATTATGTTCTAGTTAAATATGAACATACTCTAAATGAAAGATGGCCAAGTCAAAGTCCACAAGCGACTTCATGGAACATTCATACATGCCTAACCAGTGCACATTTTTGTAGAAACACTTGTCCTAGCTTAATATGGATATAGTTGTGCTTATAGTTGCTGTAGTTTCGTAGTTTATATGTGAAGCATATAACCCAGAAAACTGAGACTTGTGGGATTTTTCTGAAGTGTATGCCAAGAGTCTTGTAAGGTTCTGGGGCCAGCTTTACCTTTTCCTTGATTTCTGTAGGTCAAATGCAAGTGTTAGCCCTAGAACCGGAATAAGGTATCTGACAGCATGACAGCCATTTTAGTGTGGGCTTTTCCCAGCAGGTATTCAAAACCTTCTTTGAATGCAAGTCCAGTAACGCTAGATTACCAAATTACACATCCTGAGTCATTTTGACTTCGTACAAAGAAAATCATCTCCACCTCTCCCTCCCAAACCCAAACAAATACCAGACGCAGATTAAATTTGCTGAACTTCTACAGATAACTGGCAATACTGGGACACTGGTGTTTGCTATGCTTTTGAATGACTGAACTCGCATAGCTGTTTCTTGTGTTTTTCCCCTATTCGTGTATTTGTTTGCTGTATCTGACTGGATGAGGACTAAAAGAAATAAAACCTTGTGCATTATATTTGAAAAAAAAAACTACACATACAATCTTAGATACGAAGAAATTTCCATATAATTTCTCTTCTGACACTCAAAACTTCTATTGTCATAGTGCCTCATCTTATAAAAAGTTACACTTCTTTTTCTGAGACAAAATACACCAGGACTGAGATAGGAGAACAGAAGAGTGGAAAAGATTTGCTGTTTACTAGTCTGGCATGTCTATTTCAGAGCTGGCCCTCTCAATGAGAGGGTCACTACAAGGTAGTTTAGCCATCTGAATGTGCTTTGCAAATTCAAAACAAAATCCAGTTTATAACTGTTGAGAAATATGAGAAGATACTTAAAACATAGTAAAAAGTAAACATTTACTGGATTATTTTAAAGTATATTACTAGAACCAACAAGACATTACTTTAAACACGTATAAAGTATTATACATAAAAATGCATAGATGTACAGTAAATATGTTCATTTATATGTAGACAGAGTAATATGTACACATTGAGTCTGTTGTGCTTCTGTAAGTCTAAGCAGTAATTCCCACGTTATGTTGTCTTAAAGCAGTTTTATTATACAACTGTTTCAATGTAGCAGGTGCTGAGAACAGTGTACATTAACACTAAGTAGGTAAGTCATATCTATTTACTCTTGAAACGTTCAAATATAGGAAACAAGAGCCATAAATGCAATAGTACCTACACCTTCAAGACTTCCTTCTTTTTTTATTTAAATATGCACAAGTCCGCCTAATGGTGATACATAGATTTCTTTCCTGCTTCTGTTCCATGTCAACATGTTGACAAGGAACCCAGGACAAAATCTCTGATGCCCTTCAGCACCACTTCCACTGACTGAACTCAGTTAGCTCCTGACCTTGAAGTCTTCAGGACAAAAATGACAAGAAAAAATAAAATAAAAAAATATATAAATAAAACAAAGAAGCTTGTGGACTTTTTTTACTTTTTCACAAGGTATTTGCCACCAACACTGTCAAAGCAGCTGAATCATAGTGCATCCATGGGCAGGAGCATATAGCAGCTTTTGTGCACTTTGCAAAAAAAAAAAAAAATATTAAAGGAAATCAAGTCTTTACTGGCTTGTTTTATCTGTTGCTAAAAAGATGCTGTGCTGCTTCTGAGCTCTTTCCATTAAGTTCTTTTTCTTCTTTTTCTTGTCCTTTGTTTTTGTTGGCCTTCTCCCTAAAAAAAGGAAAAGCAAATAGTATCAATGAGACAACTAAGTAAAGAATACAGAAGTGACATTAGGCTGTAGCTGAAAAACTCAGTGGCATAGATATTATCGATGGAGACTGTAAAGGTAATCCTGGCTAATGAGCTTTGATCATCTGTGAAAACAGAAGTTTTCAATGTGATACAAGAGGAAGCAGGATCCCCAACTGTCATCACTTTTCTACAGGCACATTTCACTGGTATGAGTAACCATGTTGATGTAGGTCTCACTTTCGGCAGAGTAACTCACGCAAGCAACGTTATGCAAGTGCCTCGGGCCCACAGCCAAGCAAGTACATAGACTCCTAACTCACTGAAAGCTGGATACATGCCTTAGACCCTTGCGTAAGCTTGCTTGAGTGAGTAATCCTATTTAAGTCAAGTCCAATACATCTATGATTTCAATGAGAAATCAAGCATTACAGACCACGTATTTGGTTGGATGTCATCCTACATGCTTTGGCTGAAACAGTGCTGCCTTTGTGAATAACTGTTGTTACTGCTTCTTAGTGCGTTCTGCCTAATTCTCACAGCATATTACTGTGCAGAAACAAAAATTTCCTTGCACACTTCTTACTATCGGAAGTTCACTGAAAAATAACCAAAATCGGGAAATCAGCATCAATGCATCGAAAAAAATTCTCAGGCTCCTGGGATGGAAAATGTTTTCTTTCTGTTCAGTTTGAACAATAAATCTTCATCTTTTGCAAGTCTCAGCAAAGATATCATGGACTGAAGAAATGTTAAGTACAAAGGCCCTTATTCAGTAATGCAAGACCTTTTAAGTACATGCTTAAATACTAGCAAGTCTTGTAGGATTTAAAGAGATGACTGAATGCTGTCTGGAGTGAGAACAGCATGCGTTTTCTTGGCAGTATCATATACTGAAATATGTGATCAATGGTAAAAAAATAAGATTATTAATCTCTAAAGCTGCTAACTTCATAAGCTTTCAGGAGAACTAAATGAACATAAGAAGACAGTGAAAGGAAATTGAAGCAGCAGACATAAAAATGTGAAAAAGAATTTTTCATCTACATTTTCAGTACATTATTAATTGGGGGAAATGTTTGCCAGATTGGCTTCTCTTACTTCCATATTGCTCTTTAATTAAAAAGCCCAAACCAGCATGAAGCATTTATCTCTATTTGATAATAGTACTGAATAAACCAGATTCTAAAAGTATCGAAAATTATCATTAATTAAAAATGTCGGGTAATATATTTCAGATTATATATCTGTAATATGCCATTCAGAGTACAATTTGCTAGGAATTAATGGAATACTTGTATATAGAATAGGACAGGACATTAAGGTAAAGAGCACGAGTTTAGTTCGTATTAAAATCATAAGGGTCCTTGGAGTTTACTTCTGCTTCTCATTAAAGTCTGGAATTAACGCTACTATGGCATTTTGCCATTTTTAAATCTAGTTAATCCTACACAGTAAAACCTCAGTCTAACCAATCATTAATCAAAGCAGCTTTTAAGTTAAAACTCTTTAGTAACACTGTATCTAATGACTAGGCACAGGTAATGAGGTCAGAAGGAAGGAATACTTGACACAAAATAGCTTTACAACAAGATGGTTTGAATTATAGAGATTTCCATTATTTTCTCTCTTTTTTTTTTTTTTTTTCTTACATGATTCTACTATTTGGGACATTGTAAGGCAGAGAACTGGGATGAATGCATAATTCAACGCTAAATTCTAACTTGCACTTTAAAGATCCTATTTTTTAAACCAAAACTTCAAAATACTTACTGAGAAAGGAGTAGATGAGGAGAAACAATTTGAAATGAGTGACCAATGCTGTTGGTCAATTGATTGTCAGAAGACCAGCAGAATCAGTCAGAGCTTTACTGGAGGTTTGCTCAAAGATCTTACTTTCCGAGGTTTTTCACTGTACAAACTCCACTCACTGCCCCATTTAGTTTTCTCTACAACCTCCTCCAGACAACTATAGTAAAGAGTAACTTCTTTACTGTAAGTTTGAGGTAGTGAAAGACCCTATTATTTTTCCTTAAAAACTTTGAGATGCACAAATAAAATGGCCCACAACCCACTTGGTATCTTTGTCCAGGCTTTACAAAACAGCTTCTGTAACACAAGCATCAAATCAAACAGCCAAAACCCCCATACAGTATCTTTAAAATAGACATGAACTGGACTCAGAGATTTGACATGCCATTGTGCTATGAACACATTATGGTGCTTCTGCTGCTCTACAGCAATTGTCCCTGTACCTGCTTTTGCCCCAAGGCACACCAAAGACAAATACCTTCTTTTACACATGCCATGGAGTAGTAACCTGAGGCAGCACCACCAAGCTGTTAATATCTGGTAATTTGTTCTCTTGTGAGTATTTTGGCTGCTCACTATACTTCCAAGTCCCCTGTTGTATAGAAAAAGTTTCATTATTTTCAGGACAATGCTAAATCACACAGAGAAAATCCAGATGGCTGGCAATGCTGAGTCCTAAATTCCAACTGTTATTTTAACCAGAAAACTGAATATAAAAGGTATTCTTGGCTAACCATTGGTTCCTATATTGTTACTAGAATGCATCAGAGATTAGAGATTAGCAAGAAAAAAGTGACTGTAAAGATTAGAGAGTTCAAAGTATGCTCCTGAAGTACACACTCCTGAGAATTTTAATTAAATACATATTTCAATTACAGTGCTTATTTTTTCATCAGAAGCACAGTGAACAGAAGTAACTTCTGAATATCTTGCTACAGATGTCATTTGAAGAACAAGATGTTTATGACACAGAAAGTAGATCCTCAGAGAGGATCTGGGAGCCAAACTCTTCCAGTTCCCCAGCTGGAGGACAGTGGGGTGAGAATAGGCAATGGAGGAGATGCTGCCCTGGCGATGAGATGGCAGCGGCTTCCTCTGCTCTGTGACATGGGCTGGATGTGGAGAACCTCATCTGCAGAGAGCCTTGCATGGCCTCCCCCATACCTCAACACGTGCAATGCTCCAGAGAGCAAGAGCCCTAACCCCAAGCCCTTCTCTCCCTAGGAAGCACCAGGACTCTGACACGCTATAAAGTTGTGTTCATACATTGTAATGTATAAGGCCTAAGAAAGACCGGAAACTTAGCTGGGTTCAGTGTTCAATTATCCAGCAGATAAAAACCTTAAAAGCTTATTTATCATTCTGTACCTCATATTTTTGCACAGGCTACTTTACATAAGCAAGACTGGCAAAGCCATTCATTTGAACCCTTTATTGCAATATTATAAAATTCAGTTTTCCTATTTGTTTCAAAAATTACCAATGAGTTAGTCCTAATTTTCTAAGTAACTTATCACAATTTTTGGTATCCTTACAGTGTTATTCATTAAACTTTTGTTTGGATCACCTGGTTCTGATAGATGGGTGGGCAAGTAATACAGTATGCTATGAAATCTTCTCATTATTGAACAATGTACCACAACTTCTGAGGGTATGATTACATATAAGTAATGGTATGGTATCATATAGGTAATAAAGCAGTTTCAACATGAACTCCTGAAGAAACATCATGATAATATACACAGCAATTGTCTGTAGACAAGAGTGACAGCTACAGAAATAATTATTTAACTTGGCTCTTGCTGGATCTTTTTTCTTGTTTTTGTACCATTTGACCAGTGTTGCTCCTATAGCTGCTGTGTGCTGGTATATTAGACACTTGGGCTCAGTTTGATGGTTGTCTCGTACCCTGAGTATGAATGTGTTTGTAAATACTGCATGCTCCTTCTGGGTGGATCCACGTGGTCCCTTCAGGATATGTACTACCTGGTTCAGAAGGAGCCTTCATCATGTTCGGTCAGATGCAAAGGCAGCTTTCTCCAGACAGAATTTGGGCAGCAGATTCCTAACACCCAAGACCCTCCTGGTTATCCAGAACTAAAATGCAGCAAATGTATTCACAGGGACTCCCAGCTACATTGCTTGAGAACGTTGGCTCAGACTGAGAGCATCAGTTCAGAATCTGAAATGTCCTTCACCTGCTGTATAAACACTGCTGTATGTACTGCTCTTCTAACAAAATCTATCCATTGCAAATTTCAGCAGATGGAGAAAACACAGTATACATCCACACGAGGGCAGCAAGGATTTAAACTTAAAACATTTCATTCAGGAAAAAAAGGCAAAAACTATTTGCATCCTTATTTCATAGTGCAATCACCTCAGAAATTTTAGGTGTTCTTACACACAAATTATTACCTTAGAGACATCAGAATGTTTAATACCCCCTTCTTTATTTAAAGCATTTTTCTCTTCTAGTGATGATTACTGAATAATGGGGTTTAGATGTCCTGCCCCTTCTGTGGATTTTCACATGCAGAACTTTCACTGCATGCAGTGAAGGCACCATGGTTCCTTCTTAAATACACCTTTTAATATTTTCTTCCCTTTCATTTGTCCTTTTAGGAGCTAAGTGTTGTACACTTGTACATCAGTCTGTGGCTGCAGTTCTACCATAGGCCCCACGTGTGGCAGAATCCCATCTGCATGTAAAATAAAAAGGTTATTACACTCAAGTCACATCACTGAAGGATGGGAGACACCAGGGAACTAATGACAGCACTAGAAAGATGACAGAGATACTCAATGATTAACTAGCTACATCAACTCAGGCGAAAGATAGCAGATGTAAGCTGCTGTAGGTGCCCTCTCTGGCAGGACAGCTTCTATACTACTCAGACCCACGAATGCCTCATCATTCACTCCTCATTTACACCACACATCAAACTACACATAAACAGTGACCGCAAAAAATTCCAACAACCAACCAAACAAAAGATTCAGTCCAGAAATTACTCCCCAGAGGTAATTTGTTTCCTGGGGCTTTCAGTCAGGTTTAAAATTTTGGATACTGAAACTTCCAGAGAAATGTACAAATTGCTCAGAAATCTTAGGAACACACACTCAATGAAAGAAAAAGTTCCCCAGTTCTACAAAGTCAACTTCTT